GGCCCATCACGCCACACCCTTGCTTGAAACCCCGTCCCTTTTTGGAAGGAAATCATGCCTTTTTAGATGGTCCAGCAAGCCTGGCCTTTCTGGCCTCTCTCCTAGACAGTCCACTCCTGCACTTGCCTGGCTCAGGGCCTCCAGCCATGCCTGTCTCCTTTCCATCCTCAGGGGTACCTGGCACAGTGCCAAACATCGAGTGCAAACTCAGTAAGTGGTTGTTGACTGAACCAGTGTGAGGCTGGGAGCCGGCAGCAATCAGGTGAGGTCTGGGTGGGTGCCTCTTTGGGCACACGCTCTGTGGGATCAGAAACACTGCCTGTTTGCTGTAGCGGTGAACGCCCATCGCTTAGAACGGTGTCTCATGCCGAGCAGATGCTAATGCATTGGCTGAGTGGACGAAAGGAGTAGGAGCCAGGATGGGACTTAGTAGGCAGAAGCGCGAGGGCTCGGTGATGAGCGAGTGGGCAGGAAGTGGGGCTGGGGGGTAGGAAGAGGCGGGCAGGAGCCTGTGTCTGGCCTGGGGGCTGAGCAGAAGGAGCTGTGACGTGTGACAGGGCACGGGGAGGAGGGCAGTGTGGCGCTGAGTCAGTGCTAGTGCTGTACAGTCCACAGCACCCATGGGACAGTGGCCCGAGCAGATCCAGGGGCAGCCGCGTGGTCTGAAACTCGGGACTAGGAAGGGGCCTGGAGCAGTCAGCCTGTGGACGCTAAGGAAGCCGAGCAAGCGGCTGGATGGCAGTGTGGCAGGTGGTGTGGCTGTACCATGAGATGGAAAATATGGTCCCTGCCCTCACAACCAACACAAAATCAAGATTTGACATAGACCTTAAAGCTGTTTATGAACCCAGCCACATCTCCATAGCAACCATGAAGCCAAGACACGGCTCTGCCCTTCTCCCAGGCAGGGGGAAACGCACAGATGGCTGCTGTCTCTCCCTCGCCTCCAAATGCAGGAGATGTTCTCACGTCACGTGGGCCCACAGACAGTGGCACCTGGACACCCCACCTCTCCCCGGCCCAGACCTGCAGCCCCACTTGTCTCAACCATGGGGCTCGGGGGCGGGGGAGGGACACCAGCCTCGGCGAGCCTCGTTTCTGGTTCTAGCTCTGCACGCCCAGCTCTCCGCCAGGGCCACTGTGAGGCTGCTTGTGATGGCCCAATGGCTGAGTCAAGCATTTCTCGTGGCCCTACTGTAGTGGTCACAGTCCCTGGCCACCTCCTGCCTTCCTGCTCTCTTCCACCTTGGGTTGAAGGTGGATGGAATGATTGCCATGCATCAGCTCTGCTCCGCAGGGCATGCAGGGACCATGGTTTCCTCGCCACCACTTGTGCCACGTGGATATTGTCCCCACTTTACAGATGGGCGGTTGAGGTTCAGAGGGGCGAAGGGGCTTTCCAAGACCTCTGGCCTGGGAGGCTGCAGCAGCAGGACTTGAATCCAGGTTTTTTGTTTTTGTTTTTGTTTTTGTTTTTGTTTTTTGACAAGCAGAGTGGACAGTGAGAGAAAGAGACAGAGAGAAAGGTCTTCCTTTGCCGTTGGTTCACCCTCCAATGGCTGCCGCGGCCAGCGCACTGTGCTGATCTGAAGCCAGGAGCCAGGTGCTTCTCCTGGTCTCCCATGGGGTGCAGGGCCCAAGCACTTGGGCCATCCTCCACTGCACTCCTGGGTCACAGCAGAGAGCTGGCCTGGAAGAGGGGCAACCGGGACAGAATCCAGCACCCTAACCGGGACTAGAACCCGGTGTGCCAGCGCCGCAGGCGGAGGATTAGCCTAGTGAGCCGCAGCGCCGGCCAACAATGTTCTTAAATGCTACAGTGAGGGCTATCTGCTTGGGTTTCCTTTCTCTCTCTTTCCCTCCCTCTCTCCCTCTCTTCTTCCCTCTCTCCCTCTCTCCCCCTCTCTCTCCTGCTCTCTCCCTCCCTCCCCTTCTCTCTCTCCCCCCTCTCCCTCCCTCTCCCTCTACCCCTCCCTCCCTCCTTCCCTTCCTCTCTCAATCCCTCTCTCTCTCCCTCTCCCTCTCTCCCTCTTCTTTCCTCCTCAGCCTTTCTCCAGGCTCCTCTGTGCTGTGCCCCTGGTTTGCCACTGTTCCCGGGGCTCTGCTTACAGCCTGTCCTCAGCTCACTACCCATTCTTTGTGGCCAGCTTCATGCCTACGGCTCGGCCCCTCCTGTGCAGACGGCTCTCACGAGAGAAACTGCCTCCGTCCTTCAGACCTTTCTCTCGACCTCCTCGGAGCTGACCACCTCGTATCTACCTGGCTGTACTGGTGTAGCCACCAGGGAGCCGGGCCTCAGCACGCCGGTCCTGAAGCCAAGTCCATTTCCCTGCATGCGTTTGGTCCCCGGGTCCTCACTGTGCTCTATGGCACCACCCTGGGCTCCATCAGCGGAGCTGCAAGCTCAGGAGGGGTCCATGCTTCCCCTTCTTGGTCCTCATGCTCCGCCAGCGGCCACAGACTGGTGGCCCTCCCTTCCCAGTGACCTCAGAAGCCCTGCAATCGGCGACCTCAGCTCCGGCTGGCCTCGCCCTCGGGCATAAACCACGCAATCTGCCTGTTGAGGGATGTTTCCAGGAGCAAATCTGGTCATGTAGCCGCCCAGTTTCACCTCCTTTTTCTGCTTCCTCTGACCTGGGAGTGAGGTGCGCACTCGTAGGGTGGCCTACAACACCATGCAGGACCTGGCCCCAGAGTGTCTCCCCGTGCCTCCGGCCCCCTCCCCAACTGCCCACGCCTTTGAGCAGCATTGGCTGCGTTCCCTCTGCCCGGGACATCTGTCCCCCTCCCCTCCGCCTGGTGAATTCACCTGTCTTGTCTAAGCTCGGGAGTCACTGGTTCCAAGCTTTTACCAATCTCCTGTCCCCTTGGCTTTGTCCCTGGACACGTTTGTGTCATCACGGCTGTAGGTGTTTATGTGTCTATTTTCCTAGCCTGAGAGATGAGCTCTTTGTTGGCCAGGACCCGGTCTTGTACAGAGGTTTTTCCAAAAAAAGTTCATGGAAAATTAATTTTTTAATAAAATTAAAGTTCATGGAAAATAAGTACCATGAAAAATTCTGCAAGGATTTCAAGACTTTTTTTGCACCAAAATATACTTATGCTAGAATTCCATTGTCCACAACTCTCTGAAATACTCTTGTACACTGGCATTCTACTCTTAGTGCCCAGCGCCTAGTGATTGCTCCGTGTTTGCAGACTGAAGGGACAGGGGGTTGGGGGGGGTCCTGCTAACCTGCTGGCATCTTCGCAAGAGCTGGACAGCATCCCTGAGACGGGGCCGACACTGAGCGGATTGGACTGAACTGGGGTAGCTGAGGCTTGGCGCCTTCGCCATCGTCTTCTGCAAGAGGGGAGGCCGCTCCCAGGTGCCCAGCACTCTGTCTCCCTTAGCTGCTGCACTCTGCACCCCAGGGCCGTGCCCGTGAGAATTTCCCGTGTAACAACCACGGGCCGGCTTGGGGAAGTACGAATACTCTAGACCAAGATGTGCCTGGCGATCCAGCGGGAAAAGCCCCAGGTTGAAAGCCGGAAGGTGGGGGCTTGCAGCAGGCTTCTGGAACCTCCTGGATGTGTGACCCCCGACAGTCCCGGGACCTCCCAGAGCACGGAGCTCAGGGGTGCGCTGCTCACCTCCCCCCGGGAGGCTTGGAGGCAGCGACAAGGTCGCGTGTGAGACCCTTTGTGCTTTGCGGTGCTAGGACGCGCCCTCGTCCCTCCACCCAGAGTCCTGAGCAGCAGAGCAAACGTGCCCCGGGCGCCCGGTGCGGCGCAGCCTCGGCCGGCGGCGGGATGTGAGCGCCGCGCCGAGCAGCTGGGAAGCTTCGGCAGGCAGCGCCGGGCCGCTCAGACATCTGCACAGGCGGGTGTTGAGCAGAGGGAGCACGGAGGAAATACCACAGCCTTTATGGAGCGAAAGCTTTCAAAAGAAACACAAGACTTAAGTCAAAACAGTTGACTCAGCTCTGGAGATGTCTGCTGCACGTAGGAGGGGAAAAGACTTGCCGTGGGTAAATCCGGGAGAGAAAAGCTCCGTGGGACGCCCCACCGAGCCGGCTGAACGGGCGCCTTCACACGCGGCTCGGCCTGGGGAAGCCACAGTGCGTGTCCGTGCGGCGTCACCTACCAGCGTGTCTGTGGTCCCAGCAATTCCACTCCGAACTCACTGGAGGTTGGGGAAACGTGGAAACAGCTCAAACGCCAGTCAGGAGAGGCTCGCCTAACTGAACCGCAACACACCCCTATGGGAGAGTCCTAAGTACCCAGCGATCCATGTCTCTGGCTGAGAACGTAGGAAGAGGCTCATGGCACAGTCGGTGAAATAGGCCAGCTGCAGAGTGGCGTGGATATGACGATTTTGCCTCCATAAAAGCGGATACATACCTTTGCCACAGCTGTGTCTGCAGAGAGAAGGCAGGAGAGGATAGCCAAGGCTCCGTTAGCACAGGCTGCCAGCGGAGCGGAGCGAGCACAGTTTCTACGCAGTTCGCAGAGTTGAATGTTTTTAATAACAAACTATTAAAAGAAAATGTTCAGGAGATAAAGACCTAGTGTTTAGTCACGGGAAATGTCCCGGCAGCGGCCTGCTCTTCGTCCAGTTAAAGTCCCAGCCCAGTGTCCCTGCACTGCATCAGGGATCTCAGAACTGCACTAGGTCCTTAATCACGCTACTCTCGTCCGCTCTTCCCCTCCACCCGGGTCAGTTTACTGCCCGGAGCGCACGGAGCGTTCTCTCCGCTGTGCAGCGGGCAGGCAGGGGTGCGGGCCTCTCCGGGGACTTCACGGCTTCCACAAGTCACAGATCACTCGGGAAGCGCGCCAAGGACGCCGGTCCGAAGAATGAACGAGTGAGCTGCCGGCCCCTTGGGAAAGTGGGGCTCCCCCGAGCCGGCCACCGCCTTTCTGAGCCGTGTCCTCAGGGTGAGTGAAGGGCGCCCCTTGGGTGAGGAGTCCGGGAAGGCGGCCAGAGGCCTGGCTTCCATCACTAGGGCTCCTGGGGATCCTGCTCCAATCAGTTCTCCGCTCTGGGCTTCCATTTCCATTTCTCCTCTGGAGATAAGGGCTGGGCGCGGTCCACATCTCTCGAAACCCACACTGTGGAGCGTTACGTCTGGGCTATGTCAGAGTGTCCCTGGAGAAGGGCCCTGTGAGCGAGCGTCCTTGGCAACGCGGCCTCCCGCCGCCCCTCCCGGAGCTGGGCGTGCGCACTGCAGAGCTCAGCTCCCCGACGGGTCCTGCGCGAGAACCCCGACTCCCTGAGGCCGCCCCGCACCTCCCACGGTTATTTCCCCCTGGAATCTGCGCGATACGGAGCAGCCTTCCATCGTATCCAAGGTCACGTCTCCCTCTCCGAATCCATGGCCGTGACGACCTCGCTGCTCCCCCACGTCACCCGGCCCTGTCTCCCACAAAGCAGAGAATTCAGGAGACTTTCGCGAGGCATCGACAAGTTCTGCTTTGTGAGAGAAGACGCAGACGCGACCGCGTCCAGCGGACGCCATGGAACGGGGCAGGGAGGGGACAGCTGCTGCCCGCGACGCCTGGGCCGGGTGGGACACTGCAGCTGGGGAACCCTGTGTGGGCAGACGGTCGGAGAGAGGGCAGGGGGCGTGGACGCGCTTGCATTTCCATGCTGCTTTATCTTGACGCTGCACTGGATTCCCACCTCCTGGTGAGTCACCCAGCCCGTCTGCCCCTCTGCACACGCTCTGGCTGCTGGGCTTGTTCCTGAAGATCAAAGTGGACACACAGGAACTCTGGCGAGCAGCTGGAGAACTCAGGGCGTACCGCAAGTAACGTTCTCGCTCCCACCCTCACTCCTTACACTTTCTGCTGAGGTTCCTCCCTGGCCTGACAGCACCCGGATGTGTCCCAGCATCGCACCTAGCAGGACCGCATCGGATCTCTCGGCCTTTGCCACATCACCCCTTCTTCCCCGGCTTTGCCTGTACATGGCGCCCTACACACCTGTGGCTCATCAGGAAGCAGGGCGTCAGCCACGAGCCCGCCTTCCCTTCCCTTTGACATCGGACCAGCAGGAAATCCTGCGGCGTCTGCACCCCAAATGCCCTCCAAACCCACCAGCTGGCTTTGACTGCCGCTCTCCGCCGTGGGCATGGGCTGCTGCTCTGCGGATGGGGGCAGTGGCGTGCGGGGAGGTCTCCCCTTCTCCTCACGCCCTCCCCGGTGAGTTCTTCACCCGCAGCCAGCAGCCAGAGTGCTCTTTGGCAGATGGGAATGTGGCCACAGCAACACCTGACGTGGCACAGAAAGCAACGGCCCGGCTGCCCACGGGGCTCCAGCCTCTGCTGTCTGCTCCTCTCCCCGGCGGGCGGCCTGTGCCTCAGCAGTATTGGCCCCACGGCAACCCTCACGATGTGTGAAGTTGTGGGCCTCGGGACCTTCATCGTGTCCCCCCATTTTTCCCGGCAGGCTTTGCTGGTGACTCTGCCAGCCCCGCTGCTCCAGTGTCAGGTCCCAGCCGAAGGCTTCCCTCTTCACACCGGCTTCCTGGCACTCTGAGGGGCCGGCCCACTGGTTCTCATCCTAGCTCCGTCTCAGGACCCTCATGGCAACCTGCTCAGCTCACAGCTGTGGTTGTCCCTCCATATCCACAAAGGGTTCGCTCCAGGACCCCACACGACCCAGAAATCTGTGCATGCACGACTCCTTTGTATAAAGGGTGTAGTATTTGTATATCACCTACTCACTTCCTCCTGTGTCCTTCAAATGACCTCTAGATTTCTTCTGATGATGACAATGTAAATGGCTTCTATGCTGCACATTGCTTAGGGAATGAAAAAAAAGAGAGTCTGTATGTTTAATACAGATGACTTTTTAAACTTATTTATTTGTTTATTTGAAATGCAGAGATACAGAGAGAGAGAGAAAGAGAGAGAATCTTCCATCTGCTGGTTCCCTCCTCACATGGCCACAATGACTGGAACTGGGCCAATCCAAAGCCAGGAGCCAGGAGCTTCCTCCGGGTCTCCCACGTGGGTGTAGCGTCCCAAGGACTTGGGCCATCTTCCACTGCTTTCCCAGGCCACGGCAGAGAGCTGGATGGGAAGTGGAGCAGCCGGGACTAGAACCAGCGCCCATATGGGATGCCGGCACTGCAGGCAGCTACACCACAGTGCCAGCCCTGAATTTATTTTCTGATCTGAGATTGGTAGACCTGGCGGACCTCGACACTGCAGGGGTGGAGGGCTGACGGCACGTTTTGTCTTCTCGTTCACTGTCTCTCTCCGGGAAACTCTGCGGTGTCTGGCTCCAGCGCGGCAGAGTCAGCACGGACCCTGGCCCCCACACAGGTCAAGGGCACGAGTGGATGCCCTCGCGGATGCTTTCCTCTCTGGTGCGTGCTTCTCATTACCAAGGGTGTACTGTGCTGACCGATGGGCAAACAGTGATTCTGTCTACTTCAGTTAGGTAAGCTCAGAGCGGAACAAAGCACCTGTGCGCGGCCTGTGGCTTTGCTTTTAGGTTCCAGATGATGACGGCATTCACGCAGGGCCGGTCTCTGGGACTCCTCCTAGCCGGCAGAAGTCTTAGACCCCAGAACCGAGGACCTCTGTGGGATGGCTGTTGCTGTGGTTTGATTTGGTCTGAGCGGGTGCCCGGGGTCCTGTATTGGAAGCTCGGTGGGCACTGTGTCCACAGGAGGGGCCCAGCAGGAGGTCCACAGGTCATGTGGGTGCTGCCCTGGAAGGGGTCAGGTGTTCTGCGTTGTTGAAGAGTGCACCTGGCTGCGCGCCTCTCTCTGGCTGCTGGCATTGCTCTGTGACCTCTTCCTTGTGTGTGCTCACGGCAGCAATGCCGTCTTCCACAGGGCCCCTGCCACAGGCTGGACCGTGGGGACGCCGGGTCTGGGGCGTTCAGCTTCTGAAACCGTGAGCCAAGTCAGCCTCTTTTCTTTACGAAGTATCTAGCCCAGGTGTTTGGTTACAGTGACAGAAGATGGAGAAGACAGCTGTCCTTGGAGCAGCTAACCTTTTTCATCGGGCTGATGCCTGGCCCCAAGTTTCCTGGGACACTCGGAGTCTCCTAGCCCGATCTTCACTTGGTTATAGGCTTTAAAAATGCAGAGACGCGCATTTTCTAGGTGAGTCCGTCTCTGAAGACGACTCGTCAGAGAGCACAGTTGTGAGCTTTTGTCTTGGCAAGTGTGGGGCCGGCCCGCTGCTCTTCCCAGGGAAGTTAACATAAATGTTTATTGACAGAACAGTCATGGAGGAAATAAAGTTGCTGATTCATTGCCTTATACCGAACCCTTTGTTTCTCCCTCCTCTTCCTTCCTCTTTATAAAGAGGCACGCCACGGGACAGCACGTTCTGGGGACCCACTTGGTGTGCGGTCTCCTAGTTGCGTGCTCCTGCCTCCTCCACCTGCAGATCCTAAGTGCCGTGGCAGTGGCCTGGGCCTCCTGCTTCCGCCGCGGGGGTCTCAGAGGAGCCATGGAAGCTCCGGGGCTTCCGAAGTTGGAGCTGAACGTCCCCATGGTGACGGTGGCCCTGTTGGTGGCTCTCCTGGCCCTCCTGAAATGGTAAGCGTGGCCAGCCCCAGGGCCTGGGACGTCCCCAGCAGTGGCAGCCCGGAGCCTTGCTGGTGCCGCAGCGGGGAATGTGGGAGTGTGTTTTGCTTCTTTTCTAATCTCCAGGGAGTTGAGTATTAACACAGCCTCAGAATTAAAAGCAAACAGCCAGGTTAATCTTTCGCTGAAATGCAAGAACTGGAAGTGTCGGGGAAGGCTGGTGATTCAGGGACTGAGAACCTACACGTAATTAAGTTGGAAAGAGGTGAAAAAAGAAACAAAGTGGAAAGGCACTAGCTTTGGGCGGGAAGTGTCTCCTCGCACCCGTCACATCTCCTCACCCGTTTTCCTAAGCTCCTCTCTCTCTCGGATCTACAGTGCAGTCAGAGTCTGGGCTCCTACTGCATTGAAGGCAAGAGAGACACCGCACCACTTGGCCAGTGCGGCCCCTTTGCGGGAAGTCACTGCCGGGGGTTTCTGCAGGTTTAAGGACAAAGTGCGTGCACTGATCCCTAGTCTGAGGTCTGAGGAAAGGGACTGGGCTTTAGCAAACGAAGGCTGTCGGACCCCGCAGCGTTAGAGACCAGTGCAGACTTGAACAGTGTTTTTGCCAATTCAGCAGCCGCGCTCCCAGGGCCGGCTCCGGGGAGTCGGGGATGGAAGGCCTCCCACGTCTGCTACCTCTCTGCACGTTCACTGTGTCGGCTGACTGATCAGTTACCCACTCCACCGAAATGGATTTAGGTGGCTCTGGCTTTTGAGGAGAAAGTGGAAAAATAATGGAGTTGGAACAGAATTTCAATTTGTTTCTGGTGGTAATAGAGCCCCCTCTAGATTAATAACTGGGAGGGCACTTGGAAAAGCATCCAGCATTATGCAAATGTGAGGTATTCTTCTTTTGGAATTTGCATAGCTGAAAGTGGGATTCACGTCTGATGTTCTGTGATGATGAAATCACTTCTTGGAAACTGGCTTTGAAACTCAGCGTCAGTCCCAGTGCTGTTTTGCTTTTTACCTGGTTTAATTACCTTTGAACTTTTCTATCTCAGTGTAGTTTATCTTGCAGTGAAACCAGCCATGTGCAAAACCAAAAGCAAATGGTAGCCTCTGGCCTCCACTGCCCCTGTACTCCATCTCCATGGGCTCCTGTGCTCAGGGAAGGCCAAAGCCCGGAACCTGATATGCAGAGGGCGCTTGGCGGACGTCAGCTTCTGTAATGAGCAAGTAACATAAAAGTGGAGGAAAATACGTCTCCTCTGGTTTAGCTTTGCTTAACATTTCTTACTGATATGCCTTTTTTAAAAAAATTATTTATTTGAAAGGCAGAGGCAGAGAAAGAGGAAGAGACACACAAAGACACACACACACACACAGAGAGAGAGAGAGAGAGAGAGAGAGAGAGGGAGATCAATCTTCCTTCTGCTGATTCACTCCCCAGATGGCTGTAGCAGCTGGGATTGGGCCAGGCTGAAGCTGGGAACCATGCGGGTCTCCCATGTGGGTGCAGGGCCCAAGCACGTGGGCCATCTTCCACTGCTTTCCCAGGCCACAGCAGGGAGCAAGTGGGCAGCTGGGACTCCAACCGGGAACTCCAGTAGGAGATGCCTATGTCGTAGGAAGCGGCTTAGCCCACCGCCCCACTAACATGCTTCTCAATGTTAGTTTCTCATCAGCAGCTATGCCCTGATGTGGTTCACCTAGGTTTCGCTTCGAATCCTCCAGGTGGTCTCACAGCATCCCTGGTTGTATTGTATACTTTGCTACATTTCTGTTTCTGCGTTTTATTGTGTCTTCTTCATTCTGTATTCTTAACTTAAGTTCAGCGAGTGACATACAGCGTGGACCCGACACACGCTTGATGAGTGGACAGCTGCATCCACTAATGCTGTTCTCAGAAAGGCCTGGGCCTGAGAAGCTGCTGTGCCCGGTGTTTGCAGCCGGGTCCCAGCGGAGACGTGGGCGTGGTCACGTGGCCCCCGTTCCGCAAGGCTGCCATGCACCTGTAATCTGTTCTTGGGCCGTATTAATAACCTGGTACAAAGACACGGAGATTTCAGATAGAGGCACGAAGTGCAGGTGGGAAACAAAAGTAAGAGCTGACTTGCACTTGTTATCACCAGAATGTTTGTTGACCTGTTAATGTGTGCCAGGCGTGGTGGGAGGTCCTGGTGCAAGGTCAGGGTCGCAGGCGCAGGCCGCGGCAGGGGGAGACAGGCAGGCTCTGGGGCTGAGCTCAGTGTCTGCAGAGGTTAATGCTGCAGGAATGGCCGTGGCCACGTCTCGTAGCTCCTGGGCCCATTCTTGACCCAGCTCAGAGGTAACCCCCTCGGGCGCACCCCCATCCTCTCCTAGGCAAGACCCTAGGCCGCCACGAGGCGGAATGAGGCAAGGCCCGCCTCCAGCTTCCTTCGCCAGAGAGGGCGCCTGGGGGAGAGAGGTGCTTCTTGGAGATCACAGCATATGGAAGGCCCTGAAGGGTCTGCAGCAAGGAGAACTGTCCAACTCGATTTAACCCGGTTTTTCCACGCTCCTTTGATAATGTACGGCCACGGCGGGAGGGGCAACCAAGACCAGTAGGGACGTTCCCGGCAAAGGGCAGTTAGCCGTGGCCCAGGTCAGGCAGCTGCCCAGGCTGGTGGAAGCGGAGGGGCTGCCAAGCAGAGCAGTGCAGTGTTAAGAGGATCCCCTTTGCAGGCGCTGGGGTTCCAGGTTGATGTTTTGTCGACTCCAGGACACGGAGTGTATGGAGGACAACAGCAGGGCCGGCTCAAAGTCCACATCGGAGAAAATGCACAACTGCGCTGTCCTGAGGTGGCAGGGGCGCAGCCTTGAGGCTGGGACGATCCCCCAGTGTCTACTTGGAAGGCACCTGCTGTGTGGGAGGGGCAGTGGGCACTGATGGCCGCCAGCCTCCCAGAGCCGGGGCCCATGATTTCCATGTGTGGTGGCTCCTGCGTGGGTAGGTCTGTGCTGACGCTAGCTGCCACTCGTGCAAAGAAGTTGGATACAACACAAGTGACCCGTTGGCGTCTGCTGGGCCCCTCCCCATCCTCAGCGTTAGTTCCTAGGGCTGATGGGGTGTCCCCGGGACCCGGGAATGTTCTCTGCAAGTAGCCTTTAGGCGCCCCCTTGCAACTCTGTGCTCGACTCCTCCTCCACCTCCAGCCCCAGCCCCCTTGGCCAGCCAGATGTGACCCTGGGAAGCAGAAGCACCTTGAAACGCAGGGAGCAAGGACCTGGCAGAGGGAGGAGGGGGATGTGGGGGGGCATCTGGGGCTGCAGCATGCGGTGGAACAGGACACTGAGCGTGAATAACGGGCAGGGTCAGGGAGACGCTTTGAAGGCTTGGATCATTCCCGCGGCCTCCGAGCGTCCAGGGAGGGGCGCACACTGCTTCCCTTTAACTTCTCTCTCTTTTTTTTGGTCCAGGATATGATGATACTTGGGTTTAATAACTCAGTGATGAGCTCAGAGATACAATTGAGCCTGCTTATGAAAACGGGGTCTGCAGTTCCTGGAGGACTATTTCTACAGAATATTATTTTTTTGTTTTCCCTCTTTTAAATAGTTATACACAATATCCCTCTCCTTCTCCCTGTGTTATTGATTTTCCGGAATGCGAGTACGAGGTGTGACTATAAAGTACTGTGACTGATTATTTTAGCATACACACCAGACCTTATACAGCCAAATGAATTTTATGACCTTGACAAGCGCTGTGCTGATAGGCTGCAGCCTCACTGCAGATATGCCGCTATCGGAAAACACACTCCTAGGGCGTGTCACTGGGAATGGAGCCGGTGTCCCCTGCAGTGTTCCAAAAGCCCTCAAGGCAACAAAGCTTTGTTGGAAAGAAACCAAGTAGCTGCTTAATCTGGGTGGTATTATTTGTAATCCAAACCAAAACGTGGTTACGGGACAATAAGGCATGCTGTTGTTATTTGCTCAAAAGGCCCCTGAACAGCTTCTGGAAGCTGTGAATTCTGTTGAAGGGCCATGCACATTTAACATATATTTGAAAATTATTGATTTTCATTTTATGTGACACGGACAGCGTTCCTGTCAATGGCCAGGACTGGGCCAGGCCAAAGCCATGCTCTGGGCACTCAATCCAGAGTGGCAGGGGCTCGATTACTTGAGTGATCACCTGCTGCCTCCCAGGGTGCATAGCAGCAGGAAGCTGGAACTGAGAGTGAAGCTGGGACTTGAACCAAGGCGTTCTGGTAGGGGGTGCAGGTGTCCAAAGCACCACCTTTATATTTTTTTTAAGATTTATTTGAAAGGCTGATTGATATAGAAAGGACACAAGTGCATGTGAACTCACACACACACACACACACACACACACACAGGAGAGAGAGATCTTCCAGCTGGTAGCTTACCCACAAATGGCTGCAATATCCAGGATTGGGCGAGGTCAAAGCCAGGAGCCTAAAACTGCATCTTGGTCTCCCACATAGATGCAGGGTCTCAAGTATCTGGGCCATCCTCACTGCTTTCCCAGGTGCATTAGTAGGGAGCTGAATCAAAGTGGAGCAGCCAAGACTCAAACCTGCACTCCAATATGGGATGTCGGTGCTGCAGGCAGCGGGTTAACTCACAGCTCCACAATGCTGACCACCATCATGTTAATCCCTATGCCAGGGGCCGGCGCTGTGGTGTAGTGGGTAAAGCCACCGTCTGCAGTGCCAGCATCCCATATGGGCATCTGTTCGAGTCCTGGCTGCTCCACTTCCGACCCAGCTCTCTGCTATGGCCTGGGAAAGCTGTAGAAGATGGCCCAAGTGGTTGGGCCCCTGCACCTGTGTGGGAGACCTGGAAGAAGCTCGTGGCTCCTGTCTTTGGATAGCACAGCTCCATCTGTTGCAGCCATCTGGGGAATGAACCAGCAGCTGGAAGAACTCTCTCTCTGCCTCTCCTTTCTCTGTGTAACTCTGACTTTCAAATAAATGAATAAATCTTTTTAAAAAATCCCTATTCCAAACACCTACCCCTGTTTTTATTTTTATTTT